AAAAAATTAAGAACTTAAATCTTTTTTAAAAAAAAAGCTTTCCAAATTATTCAAGAAGAAGCTACACAACAAGCTGTGAGTGAAGATGACTGAGCAATTTCTTCATCCCTTTGGACAACTGGCCAGTGGGAGACGTGGGAGAAATGCCAAGTCAGAATGTTTGAGTGCTGCTCTATAAATGACAGGCTCCTGCTAATCTACAGGGACATGTGGAATGCTGGAGAGTCCACGAGAATCTTGATCTAGACTTTGAAGTCACTCGAGCCAGGTATGTTCCTTTCTTTCTCTCTCTCTCTCTCTCTCTCTCTCTCTCTCTCTCTCACACACACACACACACACACACACGCACATACCAAAAATAAATAAACAAAGGGAGATGCAAAAATTTGAAAGTTTGGTCCTACAGCACTGAAACAGAGCAAGTTATAGTCACATAGGTGAACTGATAGATGCTAGTCTGAAAGACATAATGCTGGACCCTTAGGCAAACAGCCAGACTTCCATGCTACACATATTTTTAAAGATTTATTTATTTGAAAGGTAGAGTTACAGAGAGAGGAAGAGACAGAGAGATGGAGGGAGGAAGGGAGGGAGTGAGGGAGGGAGGGAGGGAGAGAGAATCTTCCATCTACTGGTTTGTTCCCCAAATGGCTGCAATGGCCGGAGCTGGGCCAATCTGAAGCCAGGAGCCAGAAGCTTCTTCTGGCTCTCCCACACAGGTGCAGGGCCTAAGTACTTGGGCCATCTTCTGCTGCTTTTTCAGGTGTGTTAGTGGGGAACTGGATTGGAAATGGAGCAGCTGAAACTCAAAACAGCGCCCATAGGAGATGCTGGCCCAGCAGGTGGTAGCTTTACCTGCTATGCCACAATGCTGGTCCCTATGCCATATTTTTTAAAGAACAAAGAACATTCATGAGAAAATGAATGTATGGTCATTGTTGATATTTTCACAATGCTGTGAGAAGACCTGTGAATAGGGGCCAGCATTTTGGTGGCAGCAGTTTAAGCCACTGCTTGTGACTCAGCATCCCATATCAGAGCATTGGTTGTGTCATGGCTGCTCCACTTCTGATCCAGCTTCCTGCTAATGTACCTGGGAAGGCAGCAGAAGATGGTCCAAGTCCCTGCCACCCATGTGGGAAACCAAGAGGGAGTTCCTGGCTCCTGACTTCATCTGGTCAAGAGCTGGTTATTGCAGCCATTTGTGGAGTGAGCCAAGGGATGGAAGATCTCTCTCTCTCTGTGGCTGCGTGTTGCAAATAAATACATAAAATTTTTGAGAAAACCTGTGAAAAGTTTGTTGCAGTATTACCTTAACACCAATGATGACTGGGTTTCCCCATTACATCCAGGGATGTGCCAACAGACACGGTGTAAAAGATTTGAGAAAAGAGGAGATTTGGGGGATGATGAGCTAGAAAAGGCAGATTCAATTAAAGCACTGGCCTTACTTAGCATTTCTACGTGTCACATGGGGAAAATGAAGCTGTTTTGAATGTCAATCAAACTCTTGTATAATTGTATAAAGCTAGATGTTTAAAGTAAATCAGATTATAAGTTGATGCACAGCCCAGGGAACAGATAAGACAAAGGGCTGTGACTTCGGAGTCACCATATTCACCAAGATGGTAGCCTGGAGACTCTTAAGAGCTTGTATAGCCAACAAGAATAATGCAGACTGGGCGACAACATCCCAGTAAGATGTGGGTTTTTCTGAATGGACTATGGATCAAAAACATTGCCCTCTTGATATAAAAGTCATGGGGGCCTCCACACTAGGAAACCATCTAAACATCAAAGAAGACACAATAAAATATAGGATTGGGGATGGGGTGAGGAGGCCCAATCTCGAAATAAAAGGGTTTTGTATAAAATATGACTGGCTACAAAAGTATTAGTATGAGCAAGAGAATGAGCACATGTTTGCAAAATCCCAGAAGTAGAGGAAGACTCAATGAAGCATAAAAGTGCGTGCTCCTAGAACTGTGAGTCTCGAAATCTAAGAAGAGATCACGAATGATAATTAAACACTTTCACATAAGATTTGGCTAAAAAGCTTGTGGGCTCAGGGCTGGTGCTGTTGCATAGTGGGTAAAGCCGCCACCTGAAATGCCGGCATCCCATATGGGCGCTGGTGCGAGTTCTGGCTGCTCCACTTCTGATCCAGCTCTCTGCTGTGGCCTGGGAAAGCAGTGGAAGATGGCCCAAGTGCTTGGGCCCCCGAATCCATGTGGGAGACCCAGAGGAAGCTCCTGGGTTCGGATTGGCGCAGTTCCTGTCATTGCTGTCATCTGGGGAGTGAACCAGTAGATGGAAGACTTTCTCTCTCTCTCTCTCTCTCTCTCTCTCTCTGCCTCTGTGTCTCTGTAACTCTGCCTTTCAAATAAATATATTTAAAAAAAGAAAAAAAGCTTGTGGGTTCACCATTCATTGACAGAGAAATCAAATGTTTTCAGGATGGTGTCATGGAAGGGCTATTTGCCATCTTGGTCTCAGGAAACCAAAAGGCAAACAAATTTCATTTCACATTCTAGCAGATCATAGAAAAGCAGCAGCTTTTTTGTTGAGTTCTGGGAATCGCATACTGTCGGAAGAGCCTCAGTTCGTCAAATCTAAAATTTACATCAGGAGGAAACAGCTTGCTGCAGATTTACTCTTCCCAGGCCAACCTCCCACCACGATGAACATTCGGCTCCCAAAGTGGTGCCCCGCTCTTGATGTGGTGGTTCTGGCTGTCAGTCCAGAGAGGGGAAATCCTAAATGCCCCGTCCATTAGCTGGAGGTTCTTGTGCTAATCACCTTCTTAACCTCACTGAGATATTTAAATACTTATAACAAGCACCCAAATGAATTATTACAGTCTCACGCAGTATCTAAAATAGTATTATACATCAGATAACTAATAACCAAGGCAAAATTGGAACAAAGAGGCTTTGTGAACCATAGAAAACATCAGATGTGGTCTGGTGATAGAATCACTTGAAAGCACAAAGGTAACCCAATGAATGTTTAGGTTATTGCCAGATAATTGTGATTCATGTAAATTAGACTCACAGAATGATAGTCAAATACCAAGTGTTAACATAAGTTCTCTTTGAATTTCCTTGAAGAAAGCCCTGATGGTCTCAGACAGGCACAAGGAAGGGGTGGGTTGGGCAGGGCTCGGTCAGTGGGAGCAGTGGCCGCACAAAGGGAAACGGAACTCAGTGTCCATGACTCTGCCTGGCTGCTTCTCCGCGGTGCTGTACCTAAACACACAGCTGTTCTACACCTGCTGGTATACAATTTTCCACTACAAAATGAAGTTTCTGAAAGCAAAATGCTTTTGGTATGTATCTTCTTTATCCTCAGCACATACAGTACATACACAAGAACAGACCCAGGCCTGCCCTTCCCTTACAGTCCAAGTAATTCTAATTCTGGCTGCCTGTGCTCGCCGGAAAGAGAAAGAAAGCCCCAGGGAACATGGTGTACCCTGAAATGGCCTGAGTTCAACTGACAAAGACCCAAGGAGCTTAGGCAGAACTTCTAGGCCAACTTCAGAGAGAACAGAACGGCGGCCCTGTACTCTGCAAAGGGTAACTTACACCAGGTTCCGTGGGCTCACAGCTGCATAAACCCACAGACGCATCGAGTAATTTACCTTTGTTCTCACTCGAGGGGCATCTCGTGAGTTCCAGGTTTTATTCTTTGGCAGGGCACTACACACAGCCAACACCCACAAGAAAATCTGCCCCAACTGTTCAAAAGTTGGGGGATATTTCTGTACCCTTTGGAAAAGAACTGCTACGTGGGTGCCACCAGCTACCTTATTTGCCTCTGGTCTCTTAGGGGCACCTCCAGATCTCTGACCACTCCAGCAAGTACAGGATGAATGCCCAGCCCTGAAGGACCTTGCAGCAGCCTGTAGTGTCCGCTTGGAACCACCAGTGCCTGGACAATGATCCCTTTTTCAATGAAGCACATAACATTTCAGTCACCTGTGGTCAACCACAGTCTGAAAACAGTGAATGGAAACTTCCAGAAATAAGCCATTCATAACCTTTAAGTTGTGCACTGTTTGGAGTAGAGGGGTAACATCTCTCACCATCTTTCTCTATCCTTTGGGGGATGTGAATCATCACTTTGTCCAGCGTATCCATGCTGTATGTGCTATCTGCCCATTCATCACTTACCAGCCATCTCAATTGTGAGATTAACTGTAGCAATAGTATAGTGCTTGTGTTCAAGTCACACTTACATACTCAGACCATGAGAGTAGTGATGTTGGCAATTAGGACATGCCAAAAAGAAGCTGTAGAGTGGTTCTTTTAAGTGAAAAAGTGAAAGAGCTCAACTTAATGAGAAAAAAAAAATGATATGCTGAGATTGCAAAGATCTATGGTAAGAATGAATCTTCTACCTGTGAAATTACGAATAATGGAAAAGAAACCTGTGTTAGCTTTGCTGTCTCATCTCAAAGCACAAGTGAGATGGACACAGTGCATGGTATGTGCTCAATCAAGACGGGAAAGGCAGGGGGCCAGTGCTGTGGCAAAGTGGGCTAAGCCTCTGCCTGTGGCGCCAGCATCCATATGGGGGCTGGTTCGAGTCCCGGCTGCCCCTCTTCCAATCCAGCTCTCTGTCTATGGCCTGGGAAAGCAATAGAAGATGGCCCAAGAGCTTGGGCCCCTGTACCTGCTTGGGAGACCCAGAGGAAGCCCCTGGCTCCTGGCTTAAGATCAGCCCATCTCTGGCCATTGTGACCATTTGGGGAGTGAACCAGCAGACAAAAGACCTTTCTCTCTGTCTTTCTCTCTCTGTGTCTGTAACTCTACCTCTCAAATAAATAAATAAAATCAGTTTTTTTTTTAAATTGAGAAAGGCATTAAATTATAGGATTTGCTATGATCAACTGCTTCAATCATCTTCTGTGATTTTGGGGACATTTCCCCGAGGGAAAGGGGGAGCTATTACCTGTTACTGAGGATTCAGTATTTCTCTTGTCTGTTTGTTCTCAGACACTGGTAACTGAACAGGAGAGAATGACAGAATGGTGAAGGAGATGCATGGAGATGGAAGAAGAGACAGGTCCAGGGGTGTCTGGTTCTGCCCAGTCCTCTTAGCCTCAAAGGATCCTGGGCTCAGTTTGTGAAGGATTCGCCTGGGTCCTGAACGGTTTAGCAATACCCGTGCGTCACCTGTAGGAGATGTTGTGAAGAACTGACGGCCACTAAAAAGCAATAGGAACCCAGAGGAGAGAAGTCCTATGTAAGTATGCAGGAGGATTAAAAATAGAAAAAGAAAATGAACCCAGACCGCAAGTGTGTCTTCAGACTGCCAAGGTCCCAAACTCTTGTGCACCGTGATGTGAATGGCGCACTTCCCAACGTCAGGGAACTCAGCTGAGGGGAAGGCCATATAAGGAAGATAATGACAACAGCTCCAGAGGGGGCAGTGTCCAAGTGCAGAAAGGACGCCTAATTCCTTTAAAGAATAAATGCCACCAAGGGTCCCAGTTCAGCACATGTACTTGCTGCATTTAAAAACATCCCTTTGGGATATTTCACAGAACTTGGCAATGCAATAAGATTTCATTCATTTAGCATATGTTTATTGTTTATAGATTTGGTCTCTATTAGACCTGGAAAATGCAGAGGTCTACCAAGGCCAAGCTTTCGAGCAAAAGACAATGTGTTTGACTACTTCTTCTTCCGTCCCCTTGCCGTGTCTCTCTGGTCTCCTGTGATCCATGTGCCCTGCTGTGAGAGACAGTGCCCTGTGCCCAGTGGAATCCCTTCACAGAGGAATCCTGGGCTTCACATCCCATTCCAAACCCAGAGAAGTGAACTTCTACCAGCAGGCTTTCGGGCATCGTCCTGGGGATCAGCTCACCGGACTTAATTTTTCTGGCCTTGGAAGGGAAAGCTCCTCTTGCAGCCGCTTCCATAGCAGGGGCATGGATGCGGTTGTCCATGCAGTGAGCAGGTCTCTGTTTCTCATAGCCGTGCAGCAGCACAAGGGACCGGATGGAAGATGAGCTGAAGTCGCCCACTGGGTGCCGGAGCACTCAGCGAAGGGGACCATCAAGGAATGTGTGTCCCTGACAAAAGCATGGCCACCCCATGGTGGCAGCGGAAAGCAGGCCAGTTTTTATTGGTTTTGTTATTGATCTTAAATTCTCGAACAGGCAATATGCCTTCATATACTGTGTGGGGGTCGCCACTGCCATGGCCACCACCTGCCCCCTGTCTGGTGCCCCACCCCTACCCCGCCTGGCTCTGCACCAGGCAGCCATCACAGTGTGTCCTGGGAGCTGAAGTCTCAGAGGTGTTCTCAGCATGAGCTGACAGTGGCCAAGTTAGGAGCGAAGGCAGCTGTGGGGCAGAGCGCTGGGAAGACAGCCTCCTGCCAGGAGGGAGGGGACCTGGCACCTTCTCCCAGAGCTGTCCCTCTCAGTCTCTGCTGACTGTGGCATCCTGGGAGGCCCGGACTGTGTCCTCCGGTTGCTAGGGCGACTTAAAAATAGCTTCTACAGCCCGGGAGGGGGCAGGGAAAGAATGGAAGTTTTGCAGGGAAAACTACAGCCCCTAAAGTCCGCCTGGGTTTGCTTGGGGCAGGAGAGAGAACTGTTTGTACTGCGCTTCCTGCCCGAGGGCCAACCTTTCTGGCCTGGGCTGCAGTGACCCCTCCCAGGGAAGCACCCTGCTGACTCTGGAGAAGGCTCTGTGTGTGCCTTGAACCGGGGGCCTGGCTGGGTGTGGAGGCCACCTGCCAGGGCATGGGATGGGGCTCTGGACCTCAGGCAGAGGGGAGGGCTGGGGCCCCTGCCTGGCCCCTGCATCAGAAAGTCCCACTTTTGGTGTCACTGTAAACAGACTGGTGCCCAGTGTGCCTTATTGTGTTGCCAACACCCAGCCAGAGGCCACCCTCGTGTTAGGGCATTTTCCCAGATCAGCGCGAGTGTCCCAGGACCTAGGCTCGGGTCTAAGTCTCTCTGTCTCTCCCCTGTCCACTTCAAAGGCTGTCTCACAGTTGCTAGGCTTCAGGAAAAATCAGAAGCAGTTATTTTTTTCTGGAAAAGATTCAAGACTCTTGCATTGAACTGTGCGAGAAACTTCCTCGTCAAGCGGTTTTTGACGAACTCCAAGAAACCACGAAAATAAAGGCTGATATTCCATGTCATGGACTATTGTAAATTTAAAAAAAAAAAACCTCATAGATTGATTAAAGCATGGAAAACACTCACAGCAGAGTAAAAGCAGGTTATTAAAGGGTATATAAATAATATCAATTTTTAGATTAGGGGATGGATATACACAAATACTGTTATTACATATTACAGATACTATACAGATATATAATTATATGTATACATTATACAAATACGATTTCAGATTGTCTCTGGATAGTACAATTATAGCAGTTTTTTTCTTCTATGTGCTTTTCTTTGTACTTCGCATTTTGTACACAGGTGACAGCTTACTACTTGACAGTGCCCCTATGTGATTAGAAAGGTGACCTTGCCAAGGTGACAGCTGTGTGCTCTTCCCTTAGACACATCTGTGTGAAGACAGAACAGCGGCCTGGACACTGTCTCTTGCCACCGGCAACTCCCAAGAATGTAAAGCAAAGTCCAGTCTCCTTGGAGGCAGAGGGATGGACGAGATGCCCTTCCTACTCCAAAGTACAGATGGCTGCTAAATGCTAACCTGCTCAAAAGCATTCCCCTGGGAGCTATTCAGAACCTTCATAACCTTTCCAGTGGTCTGGTCTTGTCATCAATCCAAATGTTTTTTCTCACATTTAACCCAAAGCCTGCACATAGAGCTATAAAACACTCCTAGTGGCTTGAGGGATGACAGGGGTTCCCGGGCCAGGGCACCTGAGCACAGACATGGTCTTCCAGGGGCCTGGAGCACAGTCTTGCTGGTGTGTGACAAGGAGGAGGATGGCCACTTGAAATCCATCGCTCTCTACCCCTGATGCCTCACTGCCTGATGGCTTGATGAATGCCTCCCCTGCCTGCGTCTTCCTCAGAAGTGTCATGGGCAATGGAATTCAAAGATGGGTTTATTTTAGTGGGAGAAAAATTTAAATCTATGTATAGCTTTTTCCTTTATGGAAAAAATATATTAAAAATATTTTTAAATATTCATTTATTTTATTTGAAAGGCCAAGAGACAGACAGACAGAAAGAGATCTTCCATCTACTGGCTCATTCCCCAATGCTTGCAACAGCTGGGACTGAGCCAGGCCAAAGCCAGGAGCCCAGAACTCAATTTCAGGTCTCCCACATGGGTGCCAGGGACCCAACTCTTTGAGTCATGACCTGCTGCTTCCCAGGGTATGCACTAGCAGGAAGCTGGAATCAGGAGTGGAGACAGGACACGAACCCAGAACACTCGGATGTGGGGTGTGGACATCCCCAGTGGAGTCCTAATAGCCGTGCCAAAAACCCACTCCTGTGCTTCATTCTTCGTAATGAACATTTCCTATGAAATTTTTCAAGACCCCTCATCTGGGTTGACTGTAACCAGGCTAAGAAAATCTCACCTTGCAGGGCCAGTGCTGTGGCACAGTGGGTTAAAGCCATGGCCTGCAGCACTGGCATCCCTTATGGGCTTTGGTTCGGGTCCCGGCTGTTCCACTTCTGATCCAGCTCTCTGTTATGGCCTGGGAAAGCCGTGGATGATGGCCCAAGTCCTTGGGCCCCTGAACCTGTGTGGGAGACCCAGAAGAAGCTCCTGGCTCCTGGCTTCAGATCAGCTCAGCTCTGGCCATTGTAGTCATCTGGGGAGTGAACCAGTGGATGGAAAACCTCTCTTGTTCTCTGGCTCTACCTCTCTCTGTAACTCTGTCTTTCAAATAAATAAAATAAATCTTTAAAATAAAAAAGAAAATCTCACCTTGCAAGGGGCCTTGGTTGCCTTCTGTCCACATCTGAACTTCAGCTTCCTCTTTTGTAAAACAAACCAAACTTGATGACCAATAAGGCTCCTGTGGCTCGCTGATTGGACACGAGTTGTCTAGAAGTAAATAGTTGCTTGTAAAGTGTCTGCAAGCCAGTGCCCTTGCTTTCTGCAGTCTCTGAATCGATCTGAGCTACCAGTCTGGGGCCCAGGCACACAGTGTGGGCCAAGGACTGAATCCAGCCAATAGACATGCTTTGTTTAGGTCCCTCCAGCTTAAGGGCATAGAATTTAGAGAACAAGACATTTAATAATTTACTTATAAACATTTAATATTAAGGACATTTTGAATAAAAACCTGTGTTTATATATTTATTTGGGAAATCACAACATCTGGCAATACTGGACCTTTATGGAAATACCTACTGGGTGAGTGGGGGCTGCTGCTTCTTAAAGAGATGTGGTCCCTGCACCAGTACCTGGTCCCCACCATTCTTCCCCTCTTGGACCTGAGACCGAATGGTAGTGGCCATGATCATTTTCCTTACACGAGGTCTTCTTCATTCATCGTGTTGCCTGTGTGAATCGGTAATACTTGATTCCTTGGAGGCAGAGGTGAGCTAGTATCCTCCACATCACTTAGATCAGGAAGAATTCACAGAAGGTCTCAATAAATATCTGGTGAATGTGGGTGTTATGCTGTTTACAGCTGCCCCAAATGAAGGGATTGGTGGGGGCCGGTGCTGTGGCATAGCAGGTAAAGCTGCCACCTGCAGTGCCGGCATCCCATATAGGCACTGGTTCAAGACCTGGCTGTTCCACTTCTGATCCAGCTCTCTGCTATGGCCTGGGTAAGCAGTGGAAGATGGCCCAAGACCTTGGGCCCCTGCACCTGTGTGGGAGACCTGGAGGAAGCTCCTGGCTTTGGATAGGCACAGCTTCAGCCACTGCAGCCAATTGGGGAGTGAACCAGTGGATGGAAGACCCCCCTCCACACGCATCTCCTTCTCTCTCTCTCTGTAACTCTGACTTTCAAATAAATAAATAAATCTTTAAAAAAAAAAAAAAAAAGAAGGGATTGGTAGATAAAGTCAGAAAACTCTGTGTTCAGGGCTTGAAGCTCCTGGGTCAATCTTTTGGCTCCATGAAGCAAATTTATTTATTCATAAGAAAAAGCCCTTGGCTACCTTAGGCCCTCTTTGTACTCAGCTCTATTCCTGGCCTTGTATGTCATCAGACTATGTTTAAAAAGATCAGGAAGATTCAGCTTAGGCCAATCTCTCACTTAGGGGAGTGTTGGGCATTGCCTAAAATCTCCATTACAATATGGCGCCTGGTGGATGTTTGAGAGAGGCGTGTCTGCGGCTGCTGCAGTTAAGGTTAAGCTACATAAGATCAGACCACTGGCAGGGATAGGTCCACTTTAGTTCTGGACACGTGGACAGTGTGTGATCCTTATACTTTGCTTAAGGTGCCCCACTGCGTGCTCCACCCACACCTGCATGACCTTTTCGCTGATTGGCTCCCCTACTGCGCATGTCTTTTGTAAGCTTTATAAGCCTGCATACTTCTTCAATAAAGCGGTTCCTACTTTGACAGAACCCACGGGTGCTTGTGGTGTGTTCATCACCCATCAACCTTACCTCTCCTGTTCGCCTTGTTGGGGAGTGTCTGTAGTGGCCCCTGATGGTCAGGGGCCAGCCTAGGGCTTGAGACCCGGACAGGGGAGGACTTGGCAGATACCGCTATGGAGACTGAAAAGGAATTCTGGGCTCCACTTATACAGCACTCTTGACACTCAAGAGCAGGCTTTCCATGTGCCTGCCGTCCAGAGACAGAATCCTCATCCTGGTACTGACGTTCTGGGTTTGGATAAGCTGACAAAATGAATACGAAGAAGGCAGTTTCTAGAGATACGCTGGAGAATAAGAAGTTGATGTCTACCTCTTTGATCTCAACAGTGCCATCATCACAGAGACCCAACTCCATCAATAGTTCTATTTCCCTGATGATTTTATCCTTGGCCAAACTCAAAACTTGCTGTGGAGTAAGATAGATGGCTCAAGAGTAAATCAGGAATAGTCAATTGGCTTAAAGTAAATAACTTGAGGAAATAATTTTTAGAATTTTGTTTAGGAATAAAGTATCCACATAAATGATCATCTAAACCATGCCCTTGGGGGAATAAGAGGGGTGCTTACTGGACAGGATTGTAGCTCTCCCAGGAAAATGAATGTTTATGGTTTTCATATCTAAAAATCAGATGTCTTTTTTAAAACAATTCATTTATTTATTAAAAAATAGAGCGAGAGAGCGGGAGAGATTTCACCCACTGTTTCATTCTCCAGATGACCTTAATAGCTGGGGCTGAGCCAGGTCGAAGCCAGGAGCCAGGAGCTCCACCCAGATCACCCAAATGGGTGGCATGAATCCAAGAACGTGTGCCATCATCCACTGCTTCCCAGGCACAGTGGCTGGACGCTGGATTAGAAGCGTGTAGTAACTGGGACTTAAGCCAACACTCTGCGGTGATATGCAGGTGTTCCAAGCAGCAGCTTAGCCCACTGCATCACAATGCCTGTTCTAGATGTGGTCATTTTAAGAAAGCTTAGGCCAATGGTTTTCATCCATGACAGCTTGGATGTTTCACAGCAAAATTATTTTGATTTATTTATAGAAAACACTGTCATGACAGGGAAAAAGAGGTTATAAACTATAAGGAGAAATTCCCAAGTGACTACAAGAAGTTCCTAATTTTTATTGTTGCACATTTGTCTGTCCATTGGAGTCCATGCAAAAGCCATCTCTACCTGAGCTTTCACCTCCTTCACTCCCTCGATTTAAATCTTATGTCCCTAGTAATGTCTGACACAGTCAAAGTACCTGTGATGCTACCACTCAGCAGTAGCTTTGTAGAATGGGAGCAGACTGGGGAGAAGGAGGTAGCTCTCAAGGAAATGGCAAATGCTATCTTAAGAGCACCTATTATATGCTAGAATAGGGGTGGGGAACTTTTTTCTGCCAAGGGCCATTTGGATACTTATAGCATCATTTGCAGGCCATATAAAATTATCAACTTAAAAATTGTCCTGCCATAAATGTATGGAAGTTCAAATTCTGCCCGTGGTTGCCTTGGCAGGGCCAGAGCAAATGACTTCATGAGTCACATACTGTCTATGGGCCTGGCATTCCCCATCCTTCAGCAAGATCTATTCAAATACAGAGGAAACTGAACCACAGATAGATTCACTGTGAGCAGTCCTAACACCAGCTCCACAAGATAAGTTCATCATTACACTAACTTCGAACTAACAAATCTAATATCCCAGTGACTTAATGCAAGAGGGTTTAAGTCTCACTTGTGTCGCAGTCCATGGCAACTCAAGAGATTCTCTT